ACCTGAGATTCTGTCTTCCATCTCTTGTATTCTGTTGTATCTGTAGTACTTGACCATTTGTCCAGTTTTTCTATTCCCAGCATTCCTTCAAACTGTTGTTTTATAGTCTCTATTTCAGCTTTCAAACCTTGCACAGTTTGAATTGTTTCTTGTAATTTTTGCTTTGTCTTTTCTTCTCTTTCTTGCATTTGTTAAATTTTTTGGATTGTCTTTTCTTCCATTTTTTTGCAATTTTTGTATTGTTTTCCTCCATTTCTTGCAATTCTTTCATTTTTTGGATTTTTTCCTCCATTTCTTGTAATTTTTGGTTTGTATTTTCTTCCATGTCTTTAAGGAGTTTTCTCATATCCTCTTTGAGGGCCTCTATCATTTTCATGAAGTTGTTTTTAAGGTCTTTCTCATTTCTTACTGCTTTCTCCTCAATGGGCAGTTCAGGTCTTGTGGGTGTTGATTCTCTAGTTTCTGTAGTGTCATATTAGATTTTCTGTTGGTGGGTGTGTTTTTATATTATCTCCTTCCATCATTTCTTCCTGTGGGTACAAAAGGTGTCTATTTCTCCCCTGGTGGGTATGTGACCATGGTTCCTTTCCAGCAGGTGTAAGCAGGTCCAAAACCCTGGTGGCTTTCCTCTTGCATGGAAGGAGTCCATCCTAGTATCGAGACCTTGGCAAACTCTGGGTAGGCTGGACCCTCTCCTCGCCTGTCCCATGGGTGTAGAATGGGACTTGGAAGCTGGCAGTCTCTGGGCGGGCTGAATCCCGTTACACTGGGATCTGGATCTACTTTGCAGAGTCCTCAGGTCTCCAGTGGTTCTACTCAGGGCACTGGAAAGCAAGCTGGAGACAGACCCATGTTTACCTCGCCTATCCCGTGAGCGGAGAATGGGACTTGGAAGCTGGAAGTATCTGGACAGGCTCGATATTTTTATATTTTATTAAGAATTTTCATGAATGAGATGTAGATTTCCATGAATGAGGTTTGTCTGTAGCTGTCTTTCTTAGTGAGGAGGCCTAGGCAATCTATGGCACCTTGGGTAGTTGATGAATATGTATCCTTGGCATACAAATGGATTTTTGGTACCAATCCCACAATGAGGGTTGCTCTCTAGGCTGGGACTTCTGGGGGAAGGTCTAGGCCCTGACCTGAATGAAATGACAGACTCAGGAGATACCTCAGGGAAGGCATCACCCTCCCTGGGAGATGGAGTGGGTATTGGTTGGGCATCTGGGGGCAGCTGCTGGGGGTCAGGAGAGGAGGGGAGGGAGAGGGAGCTGGTATTGACATGTGAAACAAGCTTAATTTAAATTTAAGTTAAAAATGAGACCATGGATGCCTGCCCAGAGTACTATATCCAGCAACATTTTCAGTCTCGATTAATTTCTATTACAATGCTTTCTGTTTATAATGGATCAAATACCTTAATATAAAACCTGAATCACAGCTATATGTGGTAACACACATTTAATACCAGCATACTGGAGGAAATAGAGAGTGAAATTCTAGTATTCCTTTACCAGCTTCGTCTGCAGAGTAAGTTATAAGATGGCCAAGTATACATAGTAAGACTGTTCCTCATTAAATAAGTAAATACACACACATGGATAAATTCATAAAATAATGCCTTAAATAAAGGAAATTTGAAACAAATAAAGAGAAACATACAGAATATACTCAAAGAGTTTGGGGCTACATTTTAACTTTCTGTACAGAACTCAGAAGCACAAAAACAGGAACTGACCCAGATATCAACAGGTCACAATACATGAAATTAAAAAGTCTATGAATAGCACAACACTTTACTAGAAGAGCACATAGAGAGTATCTGAGAAAAATTTGAGAAATTTGAGAAAAATTTTCTCAACTATACTTCAGATGAGGAAGTAAACCCATTATTTATAAAATATTATGGAAATTCAATACCAAGGAAACAAAAATGTCAATTATAAATGAGTTAATGAACTGAATATATTTATCAAGGAATATGGGTTATCAAAAATGACTTTGAAATGATTTGACATACTCTTCATCATGAAAATTAGATTATTTTATAAACACATTTATTGAAAAATAATAATAATTTTTACAGTTGACTAAAACATATTTTCATATACAAAACACTCAAATACTTTAAGTAATGAGTGTTCAAAAATTCTTCAAATAATTAACTGTTTGTTTGTGTTGTAAGAAGTCAGTCAAGTATGGAATAAAAAGGGGCAAGCAAACTACTCTACTTTCCCATGAGTCTGATCTCTGAGATTCCAGTACCATCCCCAAGAGACTCAGTCATCATTCAGGAATCATGAAAACTCAGTGCCTCTTTGTAACACCTAATCCCAGTGGAAAAACACACAAGAACTCTAAAATATCTTTGCTAAATAACAACTAGAAAGTTTCCATATATTAACAAGACTCCCACAGTGAGTGTTGTCCTTGTCACTGAAGGTGAAATAAAATTGCAGCTCTGGAGGGAGGTGAGGTCACAGAGTCACAAATCTATGTATCACCCTTGTTCTAACTCTCCCACAGTGATGCTTACTAATGAGTCTGGATCTGCCCAACTAACCCACCAACCTGCACAGTCAAGAAACCAGGTGAGTACTATGTATTTCAGTCTGAGAGACAGAGTTAGCAAAGAATAGAGGACTGAGAAGGTGTCCATGTTTATTAATGGGATATTGGGTAAAAACATTCATGGAACAGAGAATGCACAAGAATAATTGCACAATTGAGAGATGAGTTAGAAAATTCCAAATTTTCCTAACCTTGTGTGCATTGCTGTTTTTTACTACAAGTCCACCATTTTATGTAACTCTGAGTAAGCAGAATAATGCACCTGTTTTCTGAATGTGCTGAAGGCTTGTGGTAAAAATTCAATGTTATATTTCACCTCAGCTTACATGAGGAGTGGACTATATCTTCAGTATTATTTTTGAGTTCATTATATCATGTTTTCATGTCATAGTAAAGTCGAGAATGGAAATGTACAGGTCACACATCCCTGGGAAATGCAGGGTGTGACTGTTTGTGACGTCGATAGTATTCATATATGACACCTCATTTTGTGATTTCGTTATGGAAGAAGTGTCTAAATCTGTAGTGAATAGACATTTTACAATGACTGGTTTGAGAGGTATCTCCCTCTTCAATTGGGGAAGGGACAGTGGAAGGGAAGGTGCAGTGTGAGTATCATGTAATGGCAGACAGGATCGAATTTGTCATGAGCTACTATCCCTGGTTTCATCATGCCCTAATATTATACAGAACCTGATGTCTTGAATTCACTCTCCATTTATACTTATTGATATGGAGTGCAGAGTCTTGTTTATGGTATGGCAGGGTTCTACTCCTCAGATGAATTTGTATTCATTATTAGTAAGCTATATCTCACTTGAAATTTTTTAAGGTTTCACATTCTTCCGGTTGCACTTTTTTGTCTCAGAAGCCTCTTTTCTATTTGAATACATCGTACATTTCACTGTAAGAGACTCATCAATATACAAATCAGCAAAACAGTCAGATGTATGTTGAAAACCTTTAATCAGAGCACATGGGAGGCAAGGGAAAGCAAATCTCTTGAGTTTGGGGCTAATATGTTCAGCATAATGAATTCCTAAGCAGCTACAAACTGTCAGCAACTCATGATAAATAATTTAGAAGGAGCAAATACATGCTTAGTTTTAAACAAAATTTTCAGAAATTTAATATTCTCATGCTATTATGTGTTAGTTGTACATTGGCGTTTAATGTCGCAGTTTGCAATATTGACAGCATTTTCTGTGTTGTACGTATAGTTTCTACTCTTGCAATTACAACAATTCATATTTCTGTTGGCATCAGGAAAATCAGGTCTATCTTGTGCTTCTGATATCAAACTAGGAGTCAGGTCAGACCACCTTGATCACATTGTACTTTACTAAAAGTTCAGAAGCACTGGAAATTGGCATTTTCCTTTGAGACAAACTTAAGTGACTAATTGAAAACGTATATCGTCAAAGATTTGTGTATCTATTCCCATATTGTGTGCGTGTGTTTTCCATGCATGTAAATATGAGCACTATGGGAATGCAATGCCACAGAATCCAGTAGATTGTGACAGAACTCTATGGAATTGGAGTTACAGGCAGTTGTTAGGCACCATATGAGTTCTGCAAGCGAAGCCCAGATCCAATGCAGCAGCACAATTTCCTTACCACTGAGCCATTGCTCTAGTCCCACACAATGGAAAATATTTATGATAAGAAGCATAGAGTAGGATACGATCAAAGTGACATTAATCAAGTGAGGAGCACAGACTGCATAGAAGGATGGGGTGTTTCAAAACATCTCTCATGGCTTTGACATAGACTGAAGTGACTGTGTTTGTGTCATACTCTCCATGTACAAGTCCTTCAGTATTCACTTTGACTCTAAGCACTCTTTGGATTTAAAGACCTACATGACCTTGTGATGTAATTCTTAGTTCAGTTACTGACAGTGGAAATAATGCTACTGTGTAGATCGTCTGGTTTTAAATATCAAAGAATATTTCAAACTGAGAGTATTACAGTGAGTCATAAATTGTTATCAATGTTATCCATGTATAAAATTATATTTGATTCACAAAGCTGTATTTTCTAAAATATACTTAAGTCTAAACAATTAATTAAACAGTGAAAATTTTCATGTAGGTTAGAGGACACCAATGGATGTGACCAACTTCACCACTCTCTAACTTCATGTACAGATCTCAATATTTGTAAAGACAAATTTCCATAAGCAGTTTGGGCTCAGTGACCTTACAGTTCTAAGCATAGGAGTGTTCTCACACTGTAGTTTTGACCCTGGCTTCTCTTTCTTTATTCAACATAACTTCTTAATTCATTACAAGGAATGCAGGTTGATACCCAAATGTTCAATATTCAAACAAGTAGAACAGATAGAGTTCAAAAAGTATCAAAGACTACAATTGCCCTTGAAACAGATTAACTTGTCAATACTTGTAATATTTGCATTTTTCACAGATGTGGCAACACAGGTGCGCTGGCGTCAATTTGCTCGATATATTTTTCGCCTCTCAGCAGGTAAGTAAGCCTAGGTAGGTAGAACTATAAAAAGGCTTTCAGGTTTTCATTTGTCTTATGTTGAATAGTGTGTATGTGAAACAATGTCATTGCTGGTCCCTGAACTCAGAGTGATGGTTCCACCCTTAATCATAGGCAGTGATAAACCAATCCTGAGGGATAGCCATAAGTGAGTTCATTCACTCCCACCTGAGGTGGGTGGTCATAGTGGACCAGGCTGAACAGCTCAGCTACCATCCAGGCCCAAAGCCTAGCCTTGGTTTGTCCACTCTAACATCTACCCATTTAGGACCTTCTGGAGCTTGTGAAGGGATCAGTGCTATGAAACAGTACTCTCAGGCTCATCAGTAAGGGGAACAGCCACAGGATAAACCAGAGGAGTTCCATGAAGTTCTTGTGATGATGATGTACCAGAAACCGGAGACCTTGAACCAGAGAATTGGCCCATTTCAATGATCGAGAGCTGGTAAAGCTGATAGGACACAGTGACCCCCCCAATGACACCAGCACAAAGGAAGTGTGGTTGGAGTGGCTGGAAAGGAGAAGCTAAGAGGTGTTTTCTTATTGTTGTTTTGTTTTTCTAATTGTTTGCTTACTTGCTCTCATTGTTTTGTTTCTTTTGTGGGGGCACTGAGGGTGTGAGGGTGGAAATGGCAGACTGGGAGGTATCTAGAGTTGGTGTATATTATGTGAAACTCCCAAAGAATCAATAGAGAAGGAATAGGAAGAAAAACAAAACCATCTCATAGTATTCATGTGTATGATCATCAGAAGAAACAGCAAAATCATCAGTAAAGAACCTATTTCTGATACTGTCCTGATGAACCCTTCTGTGATCTTCTAGCTTAATTACCAATAGTTTTACAAATACTTAGAAGATGTTGGTTTGGATATTAGTCTTTAGCTGTGAGTCCATGAGCTTCACTGCAGACACTGGAAGCCACCCCTCAAACTACCTTAAACCAAACTCCATTTCCTATTTTTCCTTATTTGTTCATTTTCAAATAAGGAAAGAAATCTCATACCCACACATATCATGGATTTTGTAAGGGAAACATCACTTGGAACCCAGTACATGAGACATAAGGCAATATTTTAGATTCCTAGGGTCTACAGGTATTTGGCTAGGTAGAACTCTATCTTGTGTCTATATTAGCACTAGATCAAGGACTGTTACTGTGTATGTGTGGGTAGTGTGCAGGTTGAAGCTCCCAAGACTGGAGTATGTACTTAAGCTCCCAAGACTGGAGTATGCAATTAAGTTTACTTTGATGGTAAAATTAAATTATTTTTTATTCTAAAAGCTGATATTATTGTCATTTTGCTTGTATTTGTTTCATATGAACAAATGTAACCAATTTTCTAGAGTGTAGTGACATTCAAGGACATTACCATGATATGAGTTTCTTGTTTTACATTGAACTATACCCAAATTTGGTGTTTTCAACTGTGTATTTCCTTACTTTTGTCATTTTAATAATCGTTTGATTTTGATTGCTAATTTTTATGAGTTTAAATGTTGCATTTTCTTTAAGGCTTTTTCCAATTTCATATTTTTTGATAGAACCATTCCCAAACTTTTGCATCTGTCTACACATATTCCACATTATACGATCCCTGCATGTTTCTTCTATGCTGTAATCATGTATGTTGTCCTTCCTTCAAAAGCCTCTTTCACAGAGGTTGTTTTTAATCCTCTTACAAGCCCCAGTCTAGGTTTGTCTGCCTGACACACACTAACTCCCTAATCACACATTGTAAACTTATAACCTAAGAAACTACACTGAGATACAATGTACCCTATGGATGCTCAATGCCCAATATTATCTCACTTAATATAGTGCTTCCTATTTTCTACTGTAGCTTTTCTCTGAGATGTGAGCCACTGCCAGGATATGGAGAAGGAGAAACTGATACTATGGGGTAGTTCTTAGGTCTCAGATCATTTACTCACTTTGTTTTAACTTTTCCAGACTTAAAGACACTCTGGTAATTCTGCCCTAGTCTTTGATATCCAATTGCTTGTCTCTGTGTAGATCATTGGTGGAAGGAGCAATGGTGACCTCCCTGATGCTTCTAATTTCAGAATGGTACTGATCAACATCTGCACCCGCCCACTTCTTTAAGGTGACCTTATGGTATTAAAGAAGACATTAGTCATGGCTATCTTTAGGAGCAGAGTACTATGTCATCAGTCTTCTCCTAAAGCATGGAAGGGCTGTCTAACCCACTGCCTTCTTTCCTACTATTAACATAGCTTCTGAGTTGTGCCTGAATAGTGTAGACACAGTTTCCATAGAAACAATGAACATTTCTCTAATTGGTTTATCATTCTTCAGATAGTGACCTTCTCCTTGCCATTTCTGGTGTTCTATTTTTCCTAATACTGTTCTGTTGAGGATTCTAGTGGGATTTCATCCCATTGGATTTTGTCAATGGTCTAAGAGTCCTAAATTGGGTTTGCGTGTGTGTGTGTGTGTGTGTGTGTGTGTGTGTGTGTGTGTGTTTGTGTATGTGGTATGATTTTCCTAAGAGCAAGCTCTTAAATTAGTAACCTATAAGTTGCTACTCAAACCAGCATTTGAGTACATCCTATGCCCTATTTTTTCTTTTTTCTCATCTTTTTATTTTAATTAGAAACAAGCTTGTTTTACATGTCAATCCCTGTTCCCTCTCCTTCCACTCCTCCACTTCTCCACACCAATCACCTATTCCATGCCCTTTCTGTCATATCTTTTGGAGCCTGGACCCTCATGCCTGTGTCTAGGCTGAGAGAGTATCCCTCTATATGGAATAGGCTCCTATAGACCATTTGTATACTAGGGTTAAATAATGATTCACTGCCAGAGGCGCCATAGATGGCCAGACCTCTTAATTGACACCCACATTCAGGTGTCTGGATAGGTACTATGATGATTTCCTAGTTACCCATCTGGGGTCCATTTGTATTCTCAGGATAAACACTGATTCACTTGCCAGAGACCCCATAGATTTCCCAGGCCTCCTAACTGACAACCACTTTCAGCAATCTGGATCTGTACTATCCTGGTTTCCTAGCTATCAGTCTGGGATCCATTCGTGTACTAGGAATGATACTAATTAACTGCCACAGGGCACATAGATTGCACAGTACTCCTAATTGACACCCAGGTTCAGGGGTCTTGTACTATGCTGGTTTCCCAACTATCAGTCTGAGTTCCATGGGCTCCCCCTGGTTCAGGTCAGCCATTTCTTTGTGTTTCTCCAGCCTGCACTTGACACTTTTGGTCATCAATCCTCCATCTCTGCAACTGGATTCCAGGAGTTCAGCTCAGTGTTTGGAAGTGGGTGTCTGCTTCTGCTTCTATCAAATACTGGATGAAGGCTCTAGAATGACATTTAAGGTAGTAATTAATCTCATTATCAGGAAAGGGTATTTAAGGTAGCCTCTCCACTACTGCTTAAATTGTGTGTTGGTTTCATCCTTGTAAATCTATGGACATTATCGTAGTGCCAGATTTCTCTTTAAGCATATAATGGCACCTTTAATTATGGTATCTCTTCTTGATCTCCTATATTCTTCCCTGGACTCAATCTTACTGCTCCCTCATGTCATCCTCTCCCTTCCAATTCTCCCATGTTCTTTTTCCTAAATCCATCTCTTCTCCCCCCACGCTCCAATTAGCTCAGGAGGTCTTGAGGTTTTCACCTTCTCCAGAGCACCATGTATGCCTCTGTTATGGTCACCTTGCTTCCTAGTTTCTCTGAAAGTGTGAGTTATAGGCTGGTAATCCTTTGCTCTATGTCCAAAATCCACAGATAAGTCAGTACATATCATGTTTGTCCTTTGTGACAGTGTGACCTCACACTATTTTGTTTCTTCTAGTTCCATCCATTTGCCTATGAATTTCAAGACTCCATTGTTTTTTTCCACTGAGTAGCACTTCACTGGGTACATGCTCCAGATTTTCTTTATCCATCCTTCAATGGAGGCATGTAGGTTACTTCCAGATTCTGGCTACTACAAATAATGCAGCTATGGATATAGTTGAACAGATGTCCTGGTTGTACAATTGTCCATCTTTTCAGTACATGCCTAAGAGTGAAATTGCTGGATCTTGTTGTAGACTGATTCCCATTTTCATGAAGAAACTCCACAATGACTTCCAAAGTGGCTATATGAGTCTGTGCTCCCACCAGCAGTGGAGGAATGTTCCACTTTCTCCACATCCTGTCCAGGAAAAACTTTCCTTGGTGTTTTTGATTTTAGCCATTCTGACAGGAGCAAGATGATATCTCAGACTAGTTTTAATTTGGTTTTACCTGATGGCTAAGGATGTTGATCACTTTCTTAAGTGTCTTTCAGCAATTATAGATAACCTTATTGATATCTATTTAATTCTGTACCCCACATTTTAATTGGATTATTTGATGTTTGGGTGACCAGCTTCCTGAGTTCTTTGCAAAATTAGAAATCAGCCCTCTGTCAAATGTGGGGTTAGTGAATATATTTGCCCACTCGTTGGGCTTCTGTTTTGTCTTGTTGACTGTGGCCTTTGCCTTTCAGCTTTTCAGTTTCAGAAGGTCTCATTCATTAATTGTTGATCTCAGTGTCTGTGCTACTGTTGTTATGTTCAGGAAGCACTCTTCTGTGCTAATTTATTCAAGGATACTTCCCACTTCGTTTTGTAGGAAGTTCAGTGTGACTCAATGAATGTTGAGGTCTTTGATCCATTTGGACTTGTTTTGTGCATAGCAATAGATATGAATCTATCTGCAGTCTTCTACACACGAGCATCCAGTCATTCCAGCACCATATGTTGAAGACGCATTTTTCCATTTTATGATTTCAGTTTCTTTGTCAAAAAGCAGACATTTCTAGGTGTGTGAGTCCATATCAGTGTTTTCATTTTGATTCCATAGTTCTACGTGCCTATTTTTGTCCCAATACCAGGCTATTTTCATGACTATAGCTCTCTTATAGAACTTGAAGTCAGGGTTGGTGATGCCTCTGGAAGTTCCTTTATTGTCCAGGCTTGTTTTGGCTATGCTGAGTCTTTTTATTCCATGTAAATTTGGGTATTGTTCTTTCATGCTCTGTGAAGAATTGTGTTGGGATTTTGATGGGGATTGCATTGAATCTGTAGATTGCTTTTGGCAAGATTGCCATTTTTACTATGTTGACCCTACCTATCCAAGAGCATGGGAGATCTTTCCATTTTCTGGCATTTTCTTTAATTTCATTCTTTAATGACTGAAAGTTGTTGTTGTACAGGTCTTTCACTTGTTTGGTGAGCATTACCACAAGATATATTACGTTGTTTGTGGCTATTGTAAAGGATGATATTTCTCTGATTTCTTTCTCAGCCCATTTATCATTTGTATATAATAGGGCTACTGTTTTTTTTCGTTAATCTGGTATCCTGCCACTTTCCTGAAGGTGTTTATCAGTTACAGAAGTTCCCTGGTAGAGGTTTTTTTGCAGGGTCACTTATGTAAACTATCATATCCTCTGCAAATAGTGAAAGTTTGACTTCTTCCTTTCCAATTTTTATCCCCTTAATCTCCTTTTGTTGTTTTATTGCTCTAGCTAGATTTTCAAGTTCAATATTGAAGAGATATGGAGAATAGGACAGCCTTGTCTTTTTCCTGGTTTTAGAGAAATTGCATTGAGTTTTGCTCCATTTTGATTTATGTTGGCTGCTGGTTTGGTATATATTAATTTTATTTATGTTTAGATATTTTTGTGATATCCCTAAAATTTCTAAGACATTTGTAATGAAGAGGTGTTAGATTTTGTCAAAGGATTTTTCAGCATCTAGTAAGATGATAATGTGGTTTTTCATTTTCTGTTTGTTTATATAGTGGATTACATTTATCATATGTGGAACCATCCCTGCATCCCTGGGATGAATAAACTTTTCTTATGAATAATTGTATATTTATTCTGAATGCTACTATATTTTTTCATTACTCATATTTAAATTGTAGATGAGATCTACATTAAGAATTGGCATCTGTTCAATTATTATCTCATCATTCATATTGTATTTTCTTATAACATAGCTAGAAAATACAAGTACATATTCATTGCCTTACATTATGTTTGGTTGGTAGTATCTTATACCATAAGCCATCTCAAGTCACATGCATTATAATTAATAATTTTTCCTCTCATTTTCTTTGAGAAATTCTTGTTTGTTATCTAGACTGAGATGGTACACCTGAGTTCCAAGCCACATTTTAATTTAGCTTGTCAGTAGTTCTTTAAATTACTAATTCTTTTTATTCATTTTGAGCAGAGAAATGTCTTTGGTCATTAGCTAAAGAAAATCATCCACAGTTGAAGAATGAACTTCTGGACTCTGACCATAAAAATCATTTTCTTGTCTCAAACGACCACTGGAATTCTGGGAAATTTTTCTCTTCTTTTCTACTACATATTCCACTGTGGAGAATTCATATCAAAGCCCACAGAGTTGATTCTCATGCACCTAATGGCAGCCAATGCTTTGACCATTCTCTCTGTAGGAGTGCCACACACAATAGCAGTTTTTGGTTTGAAGCAGTTTTTAAGTGATTTTGGTTGCAGACTACTTCTGTACATTCAAAGAGTTGGTCGGAGTGTGTCCATTAGCACCACATGCATCTTGAGTGTCTTCCAGGCCATGACCATCAGTCACACTCAATTCCTTTGCAAGGAATCAAGAGACAAAGCTCCAAAGTATATTGGCTTCTCTATTGCACTCCTCTGGATCTTTTACGTGCTGATACATTTCATTTACATTGTGTACCTATTTGTCAAAGGGAACAGTAAAAATGTGACCAGGAAACGAGATTTTGGATACTGCTCTATTGTAGGAGAGGGTGAAATCAGTGACTCATTATATGCAGCTACTGTGGTGTGCCCTGAAATCCTCTTTTCGTTAGTTATGTCCTGGTCTAGTGGCTCCATGATTGTCATTCTATACAGTCACAAGCAGAGGGTTCAACATATCCATAGCACCCATGTTTCCAGAAGAATCTCCCCTGAGTCCAGAGCCATCCAGAGCATCCTGGTCCTGGTGCTTATCTTTCTGGCTTTTTACACTGTGTCCTCTATCTTACAAGGCTGCATAGCTCTTTTAAATAACCACAGCTGGTGGCAGGTGAACATCACTCACTTCGCTTCTCTGGGTTTTCCCTCTTTTGCTCCCTTGGTTGTTATGAAACATTACTGCAGGGTACATAGACTCAATTTGGTCAGGATAAGGAATATAAATCACTGATTATTATTTTGGGTATGAAAATAATATTTTTGTGGTGAACAGAAATTTACTCACCCATCACTGTCACTATATCGGTGTACAAATTTATGGAGGTAGTTTCTTACCATTTAACTATTAAGCAAAAATGATGTGACTGGAAGACTTGTTGGCTGATTAAAATAAATATGTATCTGAGCTTATTTCATGTATGAGGAATATATTTCTCTTCAACTTGAAGCTCCCAGGCTTCTCTTTGTCTGGATGATACACAAAGAATCTAGCAAAACAGCTCTCAATAAAGCTGCCCTTTTGTGACTTTCATTCTTCATGGGCTCCCTGAGTGTTTAGTTATTTCACAAGGAGCTCATGGGTTCTATATTCTAATGGCAAAGAAAACTGAAACCATGTCTGGCCATGAAGTTGTGTTTCAAGAAGATCCCGCTCATTCACGGCTACTCAAGCCTAAACCAATACCAGAAAATATCTTCAGGCAAAATTTCCCAAATACTCTGCTTTCAGCTGCACTAGAGATAATGAGGTTTGTTTACTCTGAAGCTTGTAGCAACAGTCCCCAACAAACTCTCAGAAAAGAACATCTTACTTACTACACAGTGAAAAAATATAATGACTATCTTCCAATTCATGCACAAACCAATGAAAATGAATGAGTTTCAATGTTAGCTTGATATTTGTTTGTCAATATGTTTTTGAGAAATTTTGCATCTGTGTTCACAGTGGCTATTTTTCTGTCAATTTCCTTTGTTACTGCTGTGATGTTAGCTTGTTTGTCACTATTGTAATGCTGTTTTCATCAAAAGATTTTGGAAACATATTTACAGAATCATTGTAGAAATTAGCTTTTTGATACCTTAAAAAACAAAAAACAGGACTGCAATATGATGCAACTCTTCCACTCCTGGCCATATATAACCAAAGAACTCCATATTCTTCCATAGAGGTATATATATATCTATGTTCATTCTTGCTATATTTACTACAGCATGGAAATGGAAACTACCTATATGTCCATAAACAGATAAATCCATGATATAATTTGTGTTCGTGTACAAATTGGATTATTATTCAGATAGAGAGAAAGATAAAATCATAAAATTTGTAGAAAAATTACATATTTATACCACAACTTGGACACATTATCTCATGTTGAAAAAAAATGACATATTCTTCTTCATATGCAAATCCTATCCTATAATGTGTAAATGTGGACATGTGAACCAGTGACTGTAGCTTCAGTATAACATTTAGAATGGATAGCACGAAGTTGAGTAGTGGTGGGGCCTGTCTTTAATCCCAGCACTTGGGAGGTATGGCAGGTAGATATGTGTGAGTTCAAGACCTGATGCAGAGTGGATACTAGAAGAGGCTCCAAGGCTGCATAGAGAATCTCTGTCTAAAACAAACAAAAAGGTGGGAGAGCATGAAGGCTAATGTTAGATAATGAACGCACACAGGCATTCTTGAATATGAAATAGGATAATAAGATAATAAGTCTTCTATTTTCAACGCTGTCATTTTCTCATTCTGTGATAGACAAGAGCATAATGTTGCTGGTGGCATTGTAAAACTTTACACAAAGCTCCATGGCTGTGGCATAGATATTTTAACTGTGTAGAAGTACATTGATATATACTGAATCTGTTTCTATTTCATTGTATCTCTTTAATGACATTTTGTATGTTCATTAAAACAAACTGATTTTAGTTTAAAATGAAGTGGTATCACGATGTACCCAAAGATATAGGAATAGCTAAATTATGACCATCTGTCAATGTATGGCATCACACAAATGGACTCAAAGATAGATATCACTTACTTATCTTATTATATGCCAGAAAATAGATTATTCGGTTATACAATATATCCTGATTAAAATTTCTCCTCACTCTACTCTTCACAGTTCCTCTCCTCCCCCTTCCATGCTCACACTCTTTCTTTCTGCCATTATGAAAGAATAACAATGCATAGCAAGATAAAATAGAATTTTATTAAAGTATCTCATTGAGACTGCACAAGTCAAACCAACAAAAGTAAAGGTCCCAAGGGATAACAAGAATCAGAGACCCACCCAGTAGATTCATACAAATACTAAAGAGACAGCTATAATATAAGCTCAGAGGACTAGATGAAAACCTGTGCATCAGCTTCTATCTCCATGAGTTCATAGGAGGTTTTCTCATTTGATTCAGGTGACATTCATGCCCCCTGGATCTTGCTCTCTTTCTACCTCCTCTCTGATGGTCTTGTCTGAGCTCTGGTGGTATGGATATGATGGAAATATTGAATTTAGCTTCCCCGATATCATAAATACTTTTAACAGACCCAGCATTCTTTCATGAAGTGACAAGAGATACAGGTATAATTCCTCAGCATAATAAAGGGTGCTTCCTACAAACCTACAACCAAGGGTTAGGAACCAAGTATATTATATACAGAACTCATAGACTTGATGATTGTCACTGGTTTTGTTTATCCTTAGAAAGTATCCACAATTTTTCTATATAATACCAATGTCACTGTATATCCTGAAAACCAAAGTCTTTGAAAGCTTTTTCTATCTGATTCATATCAGTAACAGAACTGGTTTGGGGAGAATAAAACATGAAACAAGATAAATGAGAGCACAAATGAAGTTAACTGGGGAAGATTAGATAGTTGCATATCCAAGGAGGAAAAATGTGCTCCCCAAAATAACTAAGACCCTAATTGTCAAAGGCATGTGTTAGTGACATACAGGAGTTGCAAATGCCTGAAACGTATAGGGCATATCACTTAGAGTCAAATACAGAGGACATAGTGTTTAATGTAACATGTTTGAATTTGGAGGATGCACAGAGCAAGATGACTGAAGAAACAGATGATTGACAATGGACTCAATACTAGGGAGGCCAATGCTTAGGAGCCTAAACTGATAAAAAACAGACAGTCACTCAAAGAGTTTTTAGTGTGGGAACAGAACTAATGAGAAACTACTGAGGTATGAGAAAGTGTAGTGGATTTCTGGAACTCTTAGAGGTAGAAAGATAGTGGATGTAAGATATAGACAATGTTTTCACAATGATCCCTGTAAGAACTCTGTACCCTTATCTGACCTTAGATATTGTTCTATAATACATCACACTCACCAAGCCTCAGAGAACACATAACACTTATAACATTTACTATAAAATCATGCTCCATACATGCTGAGGTTTAGACACTGTCATAGCTGTCAAGATAACAAGTTGTCTTCTAGAAGTTGATTTAGTACTTTGAGACAAAGTGTCAGATCCTGTCCTTGTAAGTGCATACATGATATACATAAGACTCATTATGTTTTGTAATTAATACAATGTGATAAAGAATATCTAACATCAAACAGATGCCCAATTCTCTGCTTCTCAATGTAGTCTGGGGCAGAAAGATGATCCCCATAGCCAGGTTTGTTGATACCATTCTGTTTAATTTCTGTTTTTATCACTTAATGTGAGACCCAGAGATCTCTAGATAGAAATGAAGAACTATTGCCTTCATGCCATGTTAAATATTATACTTCTCAGCAACGAGAACATTTCATTATTGAGGAATGAGAAAGTGTGTCATTTTCATTAGAAGTTTCGTGAGTTTGAAAGTGGCTTGACTGTGATGGTATGTCAAATCTATAGTGTCCTTGACTTCAAGGTGGCATATTGCACAATGCCTCATAATCAAAATTCAATTCAAATTTGTTGCCACCTTGTGTCCAAGGTTCCATTTGTGAGACTGTTAAGACAGTTAATCATAATTTATTTAGAGAAAAATACAGACACAGAGAGATAGAGAGGGAGAGAGAGAGAGAGAGAGAGAGAGAGAGAGAGAGAGAGAGAGAGAGAGAGAGAGAGTTAGAGGACAATCACAGGATGCTTAACTCCTCTTTCAACTATGTAAGCTTTGGAATTGCAAAGTCTGAAGGGAGCTACATTTATACACTGAACCATTACTGTAACTCCCAGATTGCCCAGATCCTACCAATGGCTTAAGAAAGATATAGCAGGATTGAAAACATTTAGAGCAAATAGGATTATAATCATCAGAATGCGTGCAACACTTTTTCACCAGTTAAAATACATCCTGTTTGAAAAGAAAAGCTAATTATATTCATGTTCTGGTTATATCCTCTGTTCCATTTAAAAATGCTTCTATGTATTTGAAAGCAATCCTATTGTAGCTTGAAGGATATTAATGCCATTATCACATACGTATAAGACTCAATTACCTAAAGACAACAATGTTCATCAAATAAAGATAATTTTGCCTAAAATTGAATTCAATAACTGTTAAATTGCTTCAATATCACAATTACAATAATGAGAACTTGTACCTTCTTTTTTGTAAGATACTGTTATTCACACCTGGAAAAGTTCACTAAATCAGAGCACTTGTCTAAATATAATCCAAATTAAATTATATCTACATAATCATGTAAAATATATAATATTTGCAATTACACAGGATGAAAATATGTACTGAGATATGCACACATGTCCAAGTAGTACTCAGAAGAGAAAACCATGTCTACTAGTCAGATCTCCCAAACCAGTGATGCAAACATTCAGTTCCAACTATGAAATGTAAATTTAGTACTGTATGACAAACCCCTCTTTATTTATTTGCCATTGGTATCTAAAGATATCTGACTTTTCTATATTTTATACACAAGAATACAATATTAGATCCTTATCACAGTTACTTCATTTTACAAAAGGAACATAGCTTCTTCAATCCACTGTGCACTGAGGTCTGTACTAGTAAAAAGTAAAACCATTGACTTCCTCTGGAAGCCAAAGTTTGAAGGGGGAGTTTATACAATCAAGCAGAGGTGGCTCAAGTCAGTATGAAAGCGATCTCTTATCTCACTGTGGCTGCCATGAAATGTAGCATCTCACTGAACAGAGCCTGAGATTTCTTCAAAGAGGAAGGGAGATGAGGTGAACCCATAAGCACTCTCCCATGTGTCTCAATCACAAAGTGCCCACCTCCTTCTTACTAATAAGAACATAACCTTAGTAATATCCAAGACGATGTGAAAAGAACTGAAAGAACATCTCATGCACTGATTTCTTTAACTCTCATCATGCTGAGGCATCAGGGGCCATCAGCCCCTCTGTAGTCTCTTTGCCTGTTCTGGAGTCTCTAACGAAAGAGAAAGACAAGTTCACTTCTGCATCCACACAATTTGCAGCAGATTTTCCTAACTTTTGCAAGCCTCCAGGAAAGAAACTCAACACTCACCTGACAAAGTAAATTTCCCTGTGATGGCTGATGCTGGATAGAGCTTCAGTGGACAGAGGGACAGATAGCCTGTCTCCATATGAGAAAGAATCCCCCTGCATACTGTGACTGACATATTGATATACTTAGACCTCATTTTCCTTGTGGTCAAGATGATGTTGCAGGAGGAAACATTGACACTATCTGAGGAAATCTCTGAGGCAAATTTTTTGATTGTCATCTGAATATAAGGCCATGCAAAACAATCGTTGAATGTCTTCAGAGGACAGTTACAGCAGCACAAACATCAGTGGGTCATAGCAAGTAACTATTCAGCACTGTACATATTTGGGGTTGAGGGTGGAACTGAGTTAGGGTTATTTGAAATTTATTTGTCAGGGACAGGACGGAGAGACAAATGCCTGCCAGGTACCATGAAATATTCCTAACGTAATGTGGAGAAACTTTAACCATTGTATTCAGATGTACAAAGTATTCGTTTAGCTTGAAGAAGGTTGGATTCTGAGCAAGAGCCAGTATGATGAAAAGCTGTGTATTGATTGTGAATTCTGGAGCCAGTTTCCTCAAAATATACTGAGATAACCAACAGAAAATGACCAGTTAAAATGCATGCAAAGGAACTCTAAGCCAAAATTCACCTATAGAAATTTCTTAATTGGGACAATATATAGCAAAATTAACGGTACCTTGGACAATTTCTGGCACATTTAGGAAATATTCTTGTTCCAATTTAAAAACAGAGAATTTCTCTATTACGTATGAAAATAAAGGTAACAATTCATATATATTTCTGTTGTGTGCCTCAGGTTAGTCAAAGACATAGCAGGGCAAGGAAGAACTTTCAATAAGGAGATGCAGGATCCAGCAATTCCACTCTTGCTCTATGCCTGAAATCCATATATGAGTGAGTAGATACCATGTTTGTCTTTGTGTGACTGGGTTACTGTAACGTGTTGCCTTCCCCACCATCTGCCTGGACCCCGCCACAGTTGCAGTCCCCAAATAACACATAAGACATTGTGTTAATTATGAAGCTGTTGGTCGTTTGCTTGTTTCTTACTGGCTAGCGCTGACTTAAGTATTTAACCCATAGTTGTTAACCTAAGTATTTCTCTTACTGGAGAAAAGGGTCCAGACCTCTTACTCGGGCAGCCTACATGGAATCTGACTCTGTCTCCTTGACTCCTAGTCCCACCTATCATGCTACCCTATTGGCCAACAGTGCTTTATTCAACAACCAATAAGAGAGACAGATTTACAGTTTGACATCTCCCATCAGGTTACCTCACTCAGGATTGTTTCTTCTAGTTCCATCCAATTGCCTGTGAATTTCAAGATTCCATTGGTTTTTCTGCTGAGTAACAAACCATTGTGTAAATGTACCACACTTTCTCTATCTATTCTTCAGTTGAGGGGCATCTAGGTTGCTTCCAGGCTCTGGCTATTACAAATAATGCTGCTGTGAACATAGTTGAACTGATGTCCTTGTTGTATGAATGTGCATCTTTTGGGTGTATGCCTAAGAGTGGAATTGCTGGATCTTTTGGAAGACTGATTCCCATCTTCCTGAAGAACTCCCATACAGATTTCCACCGTGGCTGTACACATTTGTACTCCCACCAGAAGTAGAGGAGTGTTCCCATGTCTCCAAATATTCTCCAGCATAAACTACCATCTGTTTTTTTATTTTAACCCTTGTGACAGGAACAAGATGGTATCTCAGATTTGTTATTATTTGCAAATCCCTAATGGTTAAGGATGTTGAGCACTTTCCTAAGTGTCTGTCAGTCACTTTAGAATCCTCTATTGAGAATTCTCCTTCCATTGATTAACTTTTCTCCTCCATTTAATTCCCTTCATTCACTCCTTTCTTTCTTCATTTCTCTATTCATCTTCTGTTTTCTTCCCTCCACTCCTGCCTTTCTTTTTCCTCTCCTCTCCTCTCCTCTGCTATCCTCTCATCTCCCCTAATCCCCTATCTTATCCTCTCCTCCTGTCATGTTTTCTCCTCATCTCTTCATCTCTTCAATTCTTCCTGTGTTTCTCTTCCTACCCACAAAATAAATCTGTGACTGCAAGATTCCCCTTCATATAAAAAAGGCTGAAGTTCACTAATAAACAGCAGAAATTCCATCTATGAGAGTTTCCTAATTTAACTCGTGCCAGCAACCAAGTTCCCAGAATTTCTATGAACAAATGTTGCTCCTGCATTCTGCCTGTTCCATTTTTACCTGCAACTAATGTACATTCTGTCTCATTACAATTATGTCCCTACAAAAGCCAAAAGAACATTACCTTATACTTTTTGTTCTTTCCTAAATTCCCATGTTTCAAGTCCCTATTACAGGAATCACCTATAAATTCCAGGCCTTATTTTATAATGTAGTGTGTGCTGATATAGTCAGTGGGAATAAAATCCTGCCCATACTATGTGGATCTTGTAAAACCTTATCCTAATAATTGTTTATTCCAACCACCAGATTTTTAAGCACTTATTAAAACAGAAATTAATGGTGGCTGTAGAAATACAATTAATGATCTTTGCAAGCCAGATGTAATACACAAGATTAATGTCTAAGACCAATTGTTAAGCTTCTATAGTCTTCCCTGTTTTATAGGGATCACAGAGATACACAGGTGTCCTTGAAGCTACAAGATCTGAGTTAAACCCTCAGTCTCCAGAGAGCCTTTGACTAAATCTTGGAAAATCTACTATGCACACCTCTCAAGGTAGCAAGATCAGGTTAACTCCATTGTTCCTTGCACAAACCAAAATGTTCTCACAGTAGCAAAATGGGTACTGGCCAGGAAAACTTTCGGTAAGTGAAGTATTGCTAGGATGAGGGAATACATGTCCTTTAGTTGCATTTTACTTCATGTCCTTATCATCTTTGCAAATGTGCATTTTACATGAAACTGTAAGAGTAGAGCTTTTCATATAAATATATACATCACTGAGCACATTTCCCTCATATTCTTCAGCTACCTTTTCTCACCCCTTCTGTTTGTCTGCATTGTTACCTGGACAAAGCTGGCTGTGCTTTTCTGACATGTATAAACACCAATGGGTTTATCTATCTATATAATATCTATGAAACATAAACAGTAAAAGAGTTTTGTGACAAATTTTCATTTTCAGTTGTTTCTTTTTCTCTTTCTTCCCTTATTTCTATTTTGAGACATGATATTTCTACATACTTCTGGTTGTCGTGGAAATCACTGCACAGACAAGGATGGGCTTGACTTCAAAAGTCTTCCAGCTTGCCTCATGAATGCTTAGGTTGAAGATATGTGCCTCCAAACCATATCTGTATATTATTTGCCCATGACTGGCTTTATTCATTTAATGGTATTCTCAATTTGAATCAATTTCCTACAAACAACATCTTTGTTCTAGTTAGAGGTTTCAAAGAAATACATTGAATATATGTAAGCCATGTTTGTTGGATGTTGGTCTGGTTTTGGTTTTAGGCTAATATTGATGCTGTAAAAAGAATTTGACAGTATTTCTGTTTATTGAGAGAAATCATGGCTGGTGCTGCAACTCAGATCTATTGATCCCATGGGTCTTACATGGCAATATGCTATTGTTACTTTACTAAATGAAAATAATTAGTCTTCACACCATAAATAGCTATCCATATATCCATAGTATAATATAGGCCTCATCCTTCATCAAAGAGCTATGACTAGAAACATATGGCGACCATTACAGTGAAATGCAACATAACAAATCTCAATAAGTAATTAAATGTGTTGATTCAGTACACTCTAATATATCTATGAATTACAACTGCATGTAAGATTTGTGGTTTATAGTATCAAATAGTTTGAAATGATTTCAAGATCCAGGGGATCATTAAGTTTACTGTGAGATTCTGTATACTAGATATGTCAGGGAAACTATACCCATGAAGTCGGTATCTTCAATACAGTTTCCAAAAGCAGACCTGCAAATGGATGATGTAGTTATACATGCTAAGATGGAGGAAATGGATTCCATGAATCTACAACCATAGCCAAAGAGCGACAGTCAACCAAGAAATGCTAACACTGGGAGAAATACTCACCCCAATGAAAAGTCTACAAAATAGGTAATATAACAACAAGAGACAATCACTTAAATCTTACACATACAAGTAACATTATATGGGCTGAAAAAGTTGTTCTCATCTTCTTAGAAATGTGTGTGTGTCTGTGTACATTTGTTTTTGTAAGCTAGTAAAAATTAAAGAAACAAAGGCCAGAAAAATGAAAAAACTTGTGAGGTATACATTAGAAGTGTTGGAGGGACTCAGCAGAATGAAAGCAGTGATATGAAATTTAAATTTTAAAAATCAAAAGAAATAAATATGGCAAGCTTGTTTCACCATGAGGTACAAATTTTTTATATTTCCAGAAAATTTTCATGCCAGCATTATAAAATGTATTGTATTATATTATACTAAGTATTCTTATTATCTCCTTGTTAATTGTAATATCCAGGTTTTTCTTTGACTCCATCTTCATTAGATAGTCTTCTCATATTTCACTGAATTTTCTCCTCTACTGAGTACTCTCAAACTGACAGATTAGATATTTGAAAGTTAAGAAATAAATGTAAGATTATCAAGGAAAAAGTCAAAATGCCATAATCATTATGGATCTATTATCTCTATAAAGTAAGACTCTACTTCTGAATACCATGTACTTGATGCATAGACAATGGAGAAATACCTAGTTGCCAACTAGAAGCCACATCCCTACTGAATCATTGTCATATTGCTAGATGTAATCATAAATCTTACCCAGCTGTGAACCCTGAGAACTATAGCAACACTATTGGAACACCGTGTCATGAACATCATGGGACTAGCCAAAATTTTGCGTTTAAATTGAAGGCCCACATCCAATGATGGAACCCATACCTAGACCAATATCACCTTCAAGAATGTATAGTTGAGAGAACCCAGATCCTCTTGAAGAATGTAAAAGTATTATACTAATAAATGGAAATGGTATGCAACTTGTGCCTAGATTCTTATTTTTGTAAAGAGAGATTATTATATCACTCAACCCTCATCAGAGAAACTCCTCTTTGTAGTCTATGGTAATTACTACAAAGTTCCACGACCATTCAAAATGCTGAGAATAAAACACTCTGTAATAACTTACTAAAAATGCAATATCATCCTTCCAAAACTTATGGATCATCATGAAGTAGATGAAGAAAGTGTTAGAATACTTCTGTTGGTAGATGACTCTAAGAACACAGTGTGTAAAAATAGAATTTGTGAAATCTTTTTATAGCTATATGCACAAGTTCTACAAGTGATGACATTAGTCAAGCTTCTAGAATATTGGAGATTGTCTGAAGTTCCCACTCCTACCTGAAGAGCTTTTTGATGGCAGATGACTTCTGGAAAACAATGTGTCTGATTACTTAAGGATTTAAACTTTGAGATGCTACCTATGCTTCCATAGATGCCCCTGTTATAGACACATATTAGCATCAGTAAGAAGGCTCCATGGATGTTTTGTTGTTGTTGTTGTTTTGTTTTGTTGTTTTTAGAAAGACATGAAATATGGAGGAATAGTCATGGGGGAAAATAATTGGCAAGTAGAAAATGGAGGGTATACTAAACTAAAAGACATATGAAATGAATCAAATACAGAGAGACATTCAGTATTAAATTTTCTAAACCCTTTGAAAAGAGCTAAGATTATATTTGTGTGCGAAGTCAGATAAGCCTAGATCCAATGAGACAGAGAGACTTCTGTAAGCTTGTCCTGAATCTGATCTCAAAGTTTCTAGCACTTTCCACTGCAGACTCAAACACACTTTAGGGATCATGAAAACTTAAATCCCCTTCAAAACACCTTGTTCAATTGGAGATATACATGAGAAACTCTTAAGTACCTTTCTAGTTAGCAACATGAAAAGTTCCATAAATGATTTTGTCTCCCAAGGACAGTGTCAGTGCCACTGCAGATGACATTAAAAATGTTATTCTGAAGGGAGGTGAGGTCACAGAGTCTTAAACCTTTATCTCAGCCTCAAGCTGACTTCCTCTCCTAAAGGGCTTGTTATTATCGGGTCAGAAACAGTGCGCTGATCCACTCACACTGCAGAGGTAAGAAGTCAGGTGAGTGCATTCTATTGAAAAGTGTGCTTCAGAGCCAGCAATGGAGCGGATTCTGCAAGTGCTCATGTCTGATAAGATTAATCTGGTATAGAAATAGATCCGTGGAACAGAGAGCTAAGGCAGAAGAATTATCACATGGTTAAGAGTTGACTGAGGAAGAGTGAGGTTTCCTAAACTTGTGATAGCCTCTGTTGATACTTTATGTAAGTCCCCCCACTGAGCATGGCTGTGGGTATCACCAGGATAATAGAGCCTGGCTGTGAAGAAGCTGAAGGATTGTGGTAATAAATCATTTTGATAACTCATCTTATTGCACATGATGTATAAATGTGATTACCTTTGCAGATATTATTATTATAGGTGAATTTACATGGGTTTTCAGTCACAGTAGTTAGACTGCAATTAGAATTAGAATGCAAATATAAAAAGCAAATAAACATGGGAAGGTACACAATGGGAATCTCATTTTGGAGTAATGCATTTTTAAATAACAGTAGTTAAAGAGGCAGTAACCGTGTCTTCATTGTGTGACCCTTGGTATAATGACTGTTGAACCTTACCTTTTGAAATTGGGAAAACAGCACTCAAGGAATAAATTCCAGTGTGATTATCAGGTAATTTCATTCAGGTACAAATGTGTCTTGAGTTATCTACCCTAGTTTACTTAAATTTAATTTGAAATATAACTTGATTCAATCCCTTCCACTGTTTAATCTTGTTGTTAATGGAACACAGGGCTTTGTGCATAGAGGTTCAGGAATGTACCTCTAACCTTATTTATGTAGACATTTTGATCTTTATTTCAGTTTGGACAGTGTTTATGTTTTCATACTTTGAAATTCCCTGATAGGTGTTTCTCATGTATCTCTTCTATTTCAGTGCAATATAAATATTATA